CCTCCTAAAGCTTACGACTATATTATTGTAGGAGGAGGTCCGGTATCTCTCGTGTGCCTCCCACTGCGTTCTAAACCTCCTCCGCGTCTCCAGGAACTGCCGGTTGCGTTATAGCGTCGCGTCTCTCTGAGGACCGCAATGTTAATGTCCTACTTGTCGAGGCTGGGAAGAGGTTCGTTGACCCCACAGACAAGTATTCCCGTCTCACTGTAGCGTCCCGTTCAAAGCAACAAGGGTGTTCGCAATTCTATCATCCCCCTCGCATTCCCCTTGATGTTGAAGAGTGAGTACGACTGGAATTATGAGTCGGTGTAAGTTTCTTCCAACTTCATGTGTCCGACGTGATATTGACCATTCTCAGTGGGATGCCCGCTCTTGGCGGCCGTACTAGCTACTGGCCGCGTGGGCGACTGCTTGGAGGAACTAGGTGCCCACTGTCTTGCCTGCTTTTCGATCATCTCTCACGACGTTACATTCACAGCTCCCTCAACGGTTCTATGTACCACCGTTGCGCACCGGAAGGTCCGTTCCACCAATGTTGGCACTTGACTTGGCTCAATTCCACTTAGACTTCTCCGCCTGGGTTCGTGAGGGAGCAACTGGATGGGATTATGAGGTCATGAAACCGTCCGCCCGTTCTCTCCCCCACTTTATCCTGGTCCTCACCCACTCTTTCTCTCCAGTTATTTCCGCAAAGCCGAAAAATATACTCCTAGTTCCGCGTATCCGAACCTGAACCCCAAGCTTCATGGCACGAACGGTCCGGCCGCGACTACTCATGGTGTTTTGGCGGTAAACATCCCTTTGGCTTTCCCCTGTCTGCCTCACTGACTGTAATCTTCCGTTGCAGCCTATCACGAAGGAAATCCTCCAGGCCAGTGTCAACCTTGGGATCCCACACCTGCAGTAAGCGCAGTTTGTTTGATGTATGCCCGTATGCCATCCCTGATCCTCTTTTAGCGACCTGAACACTGATGCTGGAACAACCGGAGTTGGCCTCTTCGTTCGCAATGTCTTCCCGAACGGCAAACGTGAGTGTTTTGCCTCTTACCGGCGTTCATATATCTAACAACAAGCTAGGTGTCTCTTCTGCCACGGGATACCTCACTCGCTCAGTTCTGGCCCGTCCCAATCTCACTGTTGCGGTGGAGTGCACCGTGGAGAAAGTCGTGCTCACGTCGAACGAGAAAGTCCCGCGTGCGACGGGTCTCGTCTTTTCAAAGACGAGAGGCGGTCAACGCTTCCACGTTGCCGCTTCCCGAGAAGTCATTCTCTCGGGTGGTGTTATTGGGACCCCTCAGGTTCTCATGCTTTCTGGCATCGGGCCCGCAGCGGAATTGAAAAGGCACAATATCCCGGTTGTACGTGACCTTCCGGTCGGCGAATACCTCCAGGATGTGAGCTTTCCTCCGTCAGCACTATCAGTCTTTCGCGGTACTCACCCATTATTATAGCACTTCTCGCCTGGTCCAGTGTTAATTCGTGCAAAGCGTGGCACCTGGGACTACGTTCTCCGACCTCTGGGAGCTCTGTGGGCCTTTGCCAAATGGTTCTTCTTCGGTAAAGGTCCTCTTTCGTCCTTGAGTGTTCAGGTGGCCTGCTTTGTTCGTTCTGATGACAAGACGTCTGTTTATGTTCCTTGCACTCCGACTACCAACTGAACATCTCCCTCAGCTTGCCCATTCACGATGGCGCCAAGAAATACCCGGTTAAGGACCTTTCTTCGGGACCCACCGCCCCCGATATGGAGTTGTTTTTCGCACCTTTCCTGACTCCCCCGCTCGGCGGCAAACCTTATCCTTTCGGAGGGCTTACGGCTGTGAGCCCTCGTTTACTCATTCATAAAAGCACTGCTCAATACATTTGCGCACATTGCCTAGGGCTCTCTCCTTTTGAAACCCGCAAGCTATGGCACGGTCAAACTCGCGAGCACCAACGCTTGGGACTATCCGCACATCGACCCCAAGTAAGTTTTATGAAATCTCATCGCTGTAGGATACGACTCTCATACTTTGCAGTTATCTCGGCGAGCCCAGCGACGTAGCGCTAAGCATCCTGAGCATGAGACTTCTCATGCGCATCGCGCACACTAAGCCTTTTGTGGACTCTCTCAATCTTCCCGAGGATTCCAACGACAAGACCTCCTTGTTCTGGCCGACAGATTGCAATCCCGATAAGGTAGGTCCTTGACCCAGTTCGCGGACCGATGACCGACACAAACTCAAGGCCTCCGACGACGACATTGAAGCCTGGACCAGACTTCACGGACAATCTACTGGGCATCCGGTATGTGCCGCCTCTCACCTGTCCTCAAGCCACTTTTTCACACTTGCGACAGACATCGAGCGCGAGAATGGGCGGCTCGCCGAGCACGAGTGTTGTAGACAACAAACTCAAGGTGCATGGCGTCGAGGGTTTGAGAGTTTGCGATGCTAGTGCCTTCCCGACACAGGTGTCGGGACACCCGACGGCTGTCGTTATCGCCATGGCCGAGCGGGCTTCGGACCTCATCAAGGGTGTCGTCGTTTAGTTAGTAGAGTAGATGTTCGCATTTTATACAAGTCGCAGTCGCGCATTGGCTAATATATTGAACGTGGGGTAACGTGGCGCGATCGGCTCAGATGGGCGGCAGGTATGCCGGCATGGATATCTCCATTCAATCTCTGCTGCACTTGATTGATGGTAAAGTGATGCAACTCTCCACTCTGGACTCCGAACCCCAGTCCTTATTTACGCCAAACCGTGACAAGAACCCTGTTCCGCAACCCCACCCCTCACCATGTCCATTCCTACCAGAAAGATAGGCCAGGCCCTTGTGTCCGAAATCGGATTCGGGGCGATGGGTATATCTAGTTTCTACGGAGCAGTCGAGTCTGACGAAGAACGATTCAAGGTATGTCACTACATCCAGCCGCTTGGCGCGAGATGGACGATTCGCTAGGTTCTCGACGCGGCTCATGCAAAGGGCTGTTTGCACTGGGACACTGCCTACATCTACGGCGACTCTCAAGAACTCATTGGCAAGTGGTTCAAGCGCACTGGGAAGCGAAACGACATCTTTTTGGCCACCAAATTCGGAATCACCCCTCAGGGAGTGCGCGGGGACCCCGACTTTGTCAAGGAGCAATGCGCCTCGTCGCTCCAGAAGCTCGGAGTGGATACGATCGATTTGTATTATCAGCACAGGTATGCCGCAACCTCCAATTCCAGCGCTCAACCTCGCTGACGTTTTATGCGCAGGGTTGACCCCAACACACCTATCGAGGTTGGTCATAAATCCCCGAAATCCTTTCTATCTGATCCCTTGTACAGGTCACTGTCGGTGCCATGGCCGAACTCGTCAAGTGCGTGAATATTCCATGACCGTTTCTTCCAATTACTCAGTAGCCGTTCATATTAGGGAAGGCAAGGTCAAGTACTTGGGCCTCTCGGAGTGCTCTGCCAAGACTCTCCGACGCGCACATGCAGTTCACCCCATCTCCGCGCTGCAAGTGGAATACTCGCCTTTCGTGCTAGGCGAAATTGAGGATCCAAAGGTATGTAAGAAATTGTTGAATTTTCTCCGTTCGTATTGGATATTGAAGACCCCAAGATTGGTCTACTTGCAACCGCGAGAGAGCTGGGCGTCACGATTGTTGCGTACTCGCCCCTTGGACGCGGTCTGTTGACCGGCCGATACGTATGTCCTTCAAACCTCCTCAAATCTTTTGACTGTAATCCCCGCAGAAATCGCCCGACGACTTTGAGGCGAATGATTTCCGGCGCACCGTTCCCAAGTATTATTGGCCCTGCTACCTGAGACTTTCCGTTCTGAGTAGCGCATAAATAGGTTCTCCGCCGCAAACTTCCCGAAGATCCTTGACGTAGTTTCCCGCCTGCACAAGATCGGCGAACAGCACAACGCGACCGCCGGACAGGTGACGCTCGCGTGGATTTTGGCGCAAGGACCCGAGTTTGTCGTCATTCCCGGGACCAAGAAGATCAAGGTAGGGTCGCTTTCTCCCAGCTTTCAGCTTGTTCACGAATCGGCCTAGTACCTGGAAGAAAATCTTGGTGCGTCCGCGCTCAAGCTCAGCGCGGAAGAAATCGCCGCTGTGCGCAAAATCGCGGAAGAGAGTGAGATTCCTGGGGAAAGAAACGCCAGGATGGGGTCGATGTTGATTGACAGCCCCGAGTTGCCCAAGTAAAGAGACCAAAGAATAAGTGTACCACAGATGTATTTCGCAAACCGCGTTTTTGATACAGACGCCTTGGTATCCTGTGTTGATCCTGTGTGAACTACATTCAGGAGGAGAACCCTCATATTCAACCTGGATCCAGCTCCCTTCGAGCAAGGCAACCAACGGAAACTCCTCATTTAAATGGGCCCTCCACAAGCCCTCCACTTGCCATCCACACAAGGGATGCCTACGGAGTGGTCATCTGATGGGAACCAAACATGTCCAAGCACCAAAAACGCCAGCGGCTAGATTAGGCAATTATGGGAAATTGCCCCGCGCACAGCTTTCAAGTAGGCGAACTACGATGGCTAAAAGAGTCAAATAGTCGGCGGCAGTCCAACAAGAGATTCAGAGACCGTCTGGTAAGTAACATGGACGGACTGTCGTGCAACGCTTGCTACGGCCGCTCGGCGCTTTGCCAGTTGTTTCTCCTTCAACATAGTATCTCGACTCTTCGACATATGGAATACGCCTTCCCTGGACCGCCTATTCTCGTGACTCTAATCGGGCTCCAAAATCAAATCGAAGAGACAAAGCCAGTTTTCCACCGTGGAAACAGGGTCTTGATCGGGCCAAACATTTTGGCTTCTCTCGTTAGATTGGCATTCAACTCTCTTGTTTACTGCATCTGCAGATTGCCCCAATTCGGGCTCCAATGCGGAGAGTCATTCGGGCGCAGCAAAAAGCACTGCCTGTTCGCAAACGCAATTCAACAAAAAAATCATCGGAAGGATGCTTCCTGGATCGCAGCTGTGGCCCGGAAGGCGAACAAAACCAATACTGCCCCTGCAAGGTTCGAACTTGCGATCTCACGATTGCAACAGAACTAACAGTCGTGCGCCTTCACCAACTGGGCCAAGGGGCAGGCACTGGGAGTGCACTTGAAGTAGTATCGTCCGATGGAAATAGCGCGGTCAACATGCGGCGCAAATAGTACTCGGACGATACGCTGCTAACAATGTGATATTCATCGGTACAGATACCTCGATGAACCCATGAGTGTCGCAAGTGTCGTAAAAGTCCTGAGGGCCTCTAAGTCACTGTTCGTGCCGTAAACCCAGTGGGGAAGCATCCGGATGCCATTGCCCGAATGGAGGGGATGTGGAAGGACAAGCTTGTGGTGCGGCTTGGGTGCAATCATCCCCGTCAAGGTAAAGTGGATGCGTGACCGCAGTAGTGAATTGTACAAGTACTGGTGTAATAAATATTGCGCTGTGTACGAAAATATGGTATTCAGAATTCTCAACGAGACAAGGGCTGCTCCAGTGCGAAAAGTACTCGTTCCAGCAGCTTTTCGACCAGCATGAGACGGTCATCGACCTTCATCAGGCGGTCCTCGACTTTGGCCTCCAAACGGCCGAGTCTCTGGTCCATATTCGCCTCATGTTGGATAAACCGTTGCTCCAGATCCGCTAGTCGATCTTCAAGAGTTACCTCCACTTCTTCTACCAACTCTTGCACCCGGACCAGGTCGTGGGAGTGAACTTCATGGTATCCAAAAGCAATCTTTGCCTTTGGGTCAGAGTCGCAACTGTTGCAAATAAAGCTGGGTTCTAAATTGCGAGTCAGTCTAGGTATTAGAGATCGTCAAGGTAACAACCTTCGCACTGGACACAAAACCAACAAGGTTGTGTCACAGGGAAATCGCATACAGCGCATCTGGGAGCGACGGTCACTTGGTCCGAAAGGGCATCTGCGTCCACCTCAACGGTTGTAGGAAACAATTGTCTCGCTTTCGCGAGAGCACGTTTCCCTTCCCGATACATCTTCCCAAATTGCCTTATATGCACAACTCGTCTCAATTTGAGAATATCATGTGTGGGCAAGTGAGGTCGCTACAGAAGACAGTTAGGAAGGAAATCAAGAAAGGACGTGCAACACACCGTCATCCCGGAGGGCACAACTTTCACAGACATGCAACTCGCCGTGTCGCAAAAGTCGACCTGTGGGCTTTGTTTGAACTCGGTCGCACGGATGACTCAAACACCCAAAGTCTCACCGTATCAAAAGTGTCCTCCAGCCGGCATGTCAAGCAAGTAACACGAGCCCCACCTATCATTCCCGTACAGCAATCACACCGAACACTGTACCAATGTAAGTGATAAGAAGACGGACCCCGCTGGGACTCACTCATGTCCAGTTGTTACCCGAATCTGATTTTCGGCTATGGAGTGATAAAACCTTGAGTCCGCCGTCGTAAATGATCTGTTCAAGTTGTCAGATTGATCGGAGCGTCCTCCGGTTTTCCGCCTACTTTTTGATTATGCCGAGTTCCACCTGCAGTACAGTTTAGTGCCGTCGCAGACAGACGAAAAATGCTCACCTGCTCCGAGGCAGTTAAGGGTTTTCCAAATTGCGTTTGTCGAATATAGAGTTCGATGAAGCGTTTGCGGTTCTCCGTTCTTTGCTTGAAGAAGGCCCAAGACCAGTCTTCTCTGCGGATCGTATATCTTACGGCCGAAATCGCAAACATCCACAGCGCCCGAGACTTATTCCCCTTCGAGGCTGCAGGTGCCGGGAAGAAGCACATATACTCGGGCAAAATCCGCTTGAAGATAAAAATCCCGTCGTGGGTACGGCTGTCGGCCTCCGCACCCCACGTTCCGGAGAGAGACTGATGTGCCCGCGACCACTGGCCGGAAAAGTACTGGGGAGAGAACCGAGCTGGGAAGGTTTGTTTGAATGTGAATTTTACAGTCTCTGCACTCTCGCCGCTACACTCGCCGAGAATGGCGAAATCGGACGTATTAGAGCGGGATGACGCTTGGAATCGTCGTGCTCCACTGGCCAAGAGATCCATTGAAATCATTCCCGAAGAGGGAACGACCGATGAGGCAGGAGAGTAGGTGAAGCCGTTCCAGGAGCCTAGTATGGCTTTGAGAGCAGAAGACGGTCGACTGCTGGTAGTTATCGGTTTGGTTCTTTCTGGTTCAGCGTTATATGCGGCAAAGTCGAGTTTGTCGAGACCGATGGGATAGTTGAGGATTTTATCCAAGTCGACGTCTTGAGCCTCCAACGCATCGTCGTACGGATAATCTGGAAACTCTTGGGCAAGTACCACTTTCGCATCCCACAGCCCGGATTTATCGTGCATGAATTGAAACTGGGATTTGAGAAGGTGAATTTCGGGTGTTACAAGCAGACTTGTAAAACTCACAAGACCGTGAGCGTACGTCTTGAATTCCTGTCCGACATCGACTTTCTGCTGCTGGAAGGTCGCTAAAGAGATTGAGGTATTAAAGGATAAATCCACGTCGCCGAGGGAAGAGACCCACATTCCAAAAGGTCTACTCTTTCCCGTGCCGCAGAAACGACCCACCCAATAGTGTCGGCCGCGTCCCAAAGTTCATCGGGGTGGATCACCTGCCGCTGGCAAATGCGGAATATCTCAAAGTCCCGCTTAAGAAGGAGGTAGATTAAGGGGAGGAGGAACTAAAAAATGAACATGTTAATTCGAAGGTTTAAGACAACTGGAGATAACCTGACTCTTTCAATGCGTCCCTGCCCAGTGACAAGGGTAAGAGTGTTGGCCGCATCGAGATCATAGTCCACAGCTTCAAGATTTCCGCGGAGCCTCGCTTCTTCGGCTTCAACAAAGGAAGAAAACCTCTCCTGCAAGGCTTCGTTCACGTAGCAAGGTGCTACCCCCGACTCGAGCGAAGTAACATCCTGGTAAAGTCGTCTCAACGGCGTCGGGCAAAAACACACACATCTGCGCGCACCTGATACACAGCTTCCAGATAGGAGTTGACGGCTGTTCGGTTAGCGGGCAGCACGCGGTTTCGCAGCGCGAATAATTTTGCCATGATCTCTCTGACCTAATGAGGGTACCGTGAATCAGTCTGGCTGGACTCTAGAGAACTATCTTACTTTGTTTGCATATAAAGACATGGTCTGGTGGAAGCCTATCGCCCAGTAGGCCGTCCAATGCGTAAGACTATTAGACCCAGCGTGAGATCACCCCCAAAAAAAAAAAAAAATGACACTTACGACCACTCAAGCGGTCGCGATGTAGTAAAAGCGTTCGCCTCTGCGCAAAAGGGAGTTTGAAGATGAGTATTGGCGGCAGGAGCGCAAGACTCACCTGTGACAGTAACAAAGCCCGAAGCGTCGTCGTCCAAGGCCTCCGAAATTGATTGAAGTCTGGAGACATGAAGATACGCCAAAGCCCAATCATCGGGATTTCGCTTCTTCACAGAAATCCCGGCACCAGCCACATCAGAATCTTCTGCATTTTCTTGGTAGTAGTCGCGCAAAGCCATGACAAAATGTCGCGACTTGACACTTCCCCTCCAACCCTGCGAAAAGGTTGGAAAACACGTATGGGGCCAACAAGAGTTCGTACCATTTCTTTCCATATCTTGTGAACGTCCTGCAAGCAACATCGAATGAGAATTGAGCTTTTTCATGCAACAGAATACGCACAGGATCAATTATTTTGTCGTGAGGACCAGCAGTAATAGCGCTGATGACCCGATCACCCTCTCTTTCGACGACTTTTGTCAGTTCGTCGCTGAATGGGATGAGTAAGAATTATAAGGTAGATCATTTGGACAGAACTTACACAATCTGGCGTTTTTGCACTTCAAATTTGCGCGAAAAGACTGTCAAATTCTTTTCTATGGCGGCGTCAGGTTCCAAGATCTTGAAATCATGTAAGCGGATCAACGTGATGTGCAATCAATAATATATTACAAGATCGTCTTTGAGGTCTTCTAGTGCAGACGTCTTTTGTGCGGATTTCGCGGATTGGGGAGCACCTCCGAGTGAGCTACTCGACTTGGCTTCGAGATCGCTCAACTCTTTCAGAATCTTGTCATTCTCTTGGCACGCCTGCAGACCGCCCTTTTGTTCAACAAGACTGATAATGGGTTCAGAATCCGCAACAGAGTTCTCGGCGAAGTCGCGTACCGCATCATTTCCTTCTGCTCGGGTGCGACAAACTGCTGGAACATCTTCATCATCGCGTCCATCTTCTCGTTCATTTCTTTCGTCGTCTTGTCCACTGAACCTAAGGTCTGGTTTGCGGCGTCAACCCCTGGGGAAGAGTATATCAACGCTGGGGTCCTAATCAGGTCCAAATGGGCACTATACCTAGAGCAGTGTGGATCGAAAGGGCAAACTCAAACTCGGAACGACGCTTCGTGAAGGTCCCTGCAAATTTGACCAACTTTCCTTCCCAGACCGGGCCTTTCAAGATTTTGACCACCAGTTTTTTCTTGGTATAGGTATCGCAAGCCTGGGGCCCGGGTCAATACAAGTCCCGACGACAAGGGAACGTGCCTACGTTCGCGCACGCTTTGATGTCTTCTGCTGCGGCGGCGACGATCTCTTGCATTCGACCTTTGATTGTGGTTCCGTCAGGCGCCATCTCATCCGGGTCTCTCACATTTTTTAGTCTGCGAAGATTGAGATGGCGGAATCGGACCAAAAAAAAGTGATACACACTGCGTCAATGTCGCCATCATATCCTTCATCTCAAGGTGCAAGGCGAGTATCTTGCGATCGTTATCACGACGCTTCTGCTCTAGCGCCCAGACAGCCTGTCCTCAAGGTTGAGATAAGGAGAGATTATTTGTATCCGAACGCACCTTGAACGCCATAACGGCAACTAAAGAAGGAGGTTAAAAAACGTTTTCCTTTTGTTCAAAAAAAAAAAAACTTACCCCCAATGAAACTGGAGTACGTGAAATTTTGAGAACTTGACAGCAAAATAGAGTTTGAAAACATACGGATGAAGCTTGGCGACTTCGTCCAGCGCGTTCATCAAAACTGGCATTCCTTCCATGAAAGTATTCAACCCTTGCTCGATCGCCTCCATCCCACCCACGGCATCAAGGCCCATGGTTATGCCCTGCATCACAA